TGGAGAAATGTCTATTCAAATTCTTTGTTCTTTTTTGGATTATTTTCCCTTTTTAAAAAATCCTTGCCTGAGGATATGTTTTTTATTGTTTTTTGATAAATTGTGTTTTAATTTTCATTCTTCTCAACATATTTTTAAATTTCGCTTGTGGTTTACTTTTTGACCCATTGGTTATTTAGTAGTGTGTTGCTTAATGTCATATATTTGTGAATTTCCTGTTTTCTTGTTATTGATTTATAATTCCATTTTGGTAGGAAATCATACTTTGTATAACTTTGTTCCTTTTAAATTTAGAAAAACTTTTTTTATGGCATAACATATAGAAATGTCCCATGGTTAACAATAATACCAGGAAGCTCTTGGCTATCCCTGGTTCTCTATATTAGATTTCTGCCTTCTCTGCCATTCTTGTATCAGAGCTTCAGGCCCCCGATAAATTGTTTTAATCAGGATTTCCATTTTTTTTAATAATGCTCTTAACCATGAGGTTTTCTACTTCCTATTTCAAATAAAGACAATCCCTTCAAGTAGAGATGTAGAGCTCTTTGTCCTTAAGGTGTGCCTTTTCCTTGCAGTAGAACCCGCATTCCACTGTACCTGGAGCTGGGGCTAGGGACCCACTTTTCCCAGGGTGACACCCCGGGCACTTGGTGGGAGGGGTGGTGGCAGCCCCTGGTCTTCTTGACCTACTCCTCCTGGCATGATGAGCAAATTGGGGTGGTAGCAATCAAGGTCCAGTATTCTTTGCCTACTGGGCCTGGAGTAGAGTTTCCACCAAATGAGTGGGGAATGGATGAAGGAATGGAAACCCAGGCTCTGGGTGCCTGTCCAGAATAGACCTCTGCACCTCCTTGCTGAAGCTGATGAGAAACACCAGCAGCCTCTCCCCCACTGGGAAATGGACATAGAGGAAATGGAGTCCCTGCCTTCTTGGCTGCATATTCCAGAGGTAGAGCTTCTGTAACAGAGTTTGTGGAGTGGGGGTAATAGAACAGATGTTGGCTCAAATGCCACAAATTCTTGCCTCTTCTCAAATTTAGTAGATTTTCTTGAATAAATGTTTCTCTGTTTGCTATTTGCTGTTAGGACAATTTCCAGAGACTTTAAAAAACAAAACTAAACAATGTTCAGTTAAACTGCAGAGTATGTATGGCAGGGGTCCTCACACTTTTTAAACAGGGGGCCAGTTCACTGTCCCTCAGACCGTTGGAGGGCCGGACTATAGTTTAAAAAAAAAAACTATGAACAAATTCCTATGCACACTGCACAAATCTTATTTTGAAGTAAAAAAACAAACAAAACGGGAACAAATACAATATTTGTATTTGCATGTGGCCCGCGGGCCGTAGTTTGAGGACCCCTGATGTATGGCATTGTGGCTAAACTAATTCATTCAGCTGACATTTATTAATTGCCTACTCCATGACAGACAACTTTCCTTATATTGCCTATAAATGTGTTCTAACCTAGATCCATTATTACTATGATTATAGTATTTTAAAGTTATTAATTTAAACTTACTCTATGAGCCTACTTTTGCAGAATAGCCATTCGTTTGGAAGGAAAATTTGTTATAGAAAACTATAAGATTTAGTCTTATGAAATGAGTATGGAAAGAAAGCCATAGCATCTGTGAAGCAAAGCAATCAAATGAAGCTTTGGCAACAAAAAAAAGAAGGAACAACTGACCATATGTGAAATGAGGCAGTGAGTGTTGGCAGCTCAGGAGGCCCTGGGTGTTTCTTTGGTCTTCTTTATACTGCTAACTCTAGGGTTCTAGACAAAATAATTATATTTCCTCTGCTTCAGGTTTTTCCCAACTTTAACTGAAAAATAATGGCTTCTCCTGCACATTGGGTTATGGAGGGAAAAATTAGTGTAAAGCAATAAAGAAATGTTAAAAAATTTGAAGTGCTTTAGGAATGTTCAATGCAAGGGCACCTGTCTATAGTGCTGCCCTCTCTAAAACAGGGATAAATATGAGCCTGTCTTAGGTCCTACCCAAAGCTATTGATGGCAGGAAGTTCTGAAAGGACTTTGTTAAAAACACTTTCACTTGTAAACTGGCTTAACATGTGATCTTAGGGGCAGTGTGATGAGGCAAAGCATACATGTTATCTATATGCTGTATATATGCAATATGCTATATTTGTTAAATTTCCTTTTCTAGCAGAGAAAAGAGAAAACTTGTAAGCCAGAGATTTGTGTTAAATATTACTTTTAAATTCATTCTTCCAAATTGTTTTTTATTATTTTCAGAAGGAAAACTGAAGTCAGGTCATGCTTTCTTTCTCTCTCTCTCACAGTAAAATGGCCAAATGACGTGAATGTTAATAGAAGAAGCAGAAGTTGTGAATTGTTAACCTATACAATTGATCCTAAATTTTAAATTATTGCCTTTATTATCTGGTTAAAATATGTAAGGTAAATAGTGGCTCCTAAACCTGAAGCTCTTGATCCTAAGGTCTTCTATTTTTTATTTCTTTTTTTAATATGTTATTTTTATTATTGATTTTAGAGGGAGAGGAAGGAAAAGGGAGAAAGAGAAAAACACCGATGAGAGAAAGAAACATCAATCGGCTGCCTCCTACACACCCCATACCTGGGATCGAGCCCAAAAACCGGGCATGTACCCTAACCAGGAGTCAAACCAGCGACGCTCAGTGAAACGGATGACGTGCAACCAACTGAGCCACACCAGCTATTTTTCATTTCTTAGGAGCCAATCAACCTTAAAACATGTAGGAAAAATCCAGAAAATAAGTATTAAGCATTCCTTGGAGATTAAAAAACATGAGTAAAAAGTAACAAGCCCCCTTCATAGAGTTCAGCTACTGTACTTGGTACTTTAAGGCATTGTCTCATTACTTTCTAACAACAACTCAATGAGTAAGAAGCCTTTAATCTCCATTTTGTGAAGAAGAAACTGTGGCCTAGAGAACGTAATGGAATCTCATCCTAGATCATACAGCTTCTGGAAACAGGATGGACATTTAAAATAATGATATTAAAAACAAATATTTTCAAAATTACTTAAGTAGTACATATTCTTTGTAAAACAATTAAATATATAGGAAATAAACATTTTAAAATAAATAATTATATGTTTCTATGTGTACATATGATCTCATACATACATAGGGAGGGAGGGATGGAAGGAGGGAGAGACAGAGAGAGAGAGGGGGTGGGTAGAGACCTGAAAGATAAATAGTAAGTTGATAGCATTGGTTAACCCTGGAAAAGGAAGGTGAGAAGGTGCCAAGAATGGAAGTATAGAAGTGATGGTCAGAAAAGTCTTTAGGATTATTTGGTGCAGCATTTTTTCATATATAAGTTGAATAAATTTAAACTAGTAATTTTAAAAATCCTTTTAAAAAATGAGGACAGAAAGCAACATTCCAGATAAAGTTTTACCATTTTTAACTAATTTCTTTGCCCCTCTTCTGGTGACTTCCTCTTTTTCACGATCTCCACCCAAGAATGTTGAAAACTTTTCAAAGATAATGTGTACATGAGTTAGTTGATATAGTTAAGATTATAAAATCATTGATGATTAAGTATAAGGCAGTTGTCATGGTGGTTAAGAACCTGGGTCTAGACCGCCTGGGTTTGAAACCTGGCTTCCTCTTTGTATGACTTCCCTGTGCCTCAGTTTTCCCATTTCTAAATTTGGGATAATAGTACCTATCTTATAGGGTTGTTGTGAGGACTAAAGGAGTTATTATCTGTACAGTACTTAGAACAGTGCTTGGCAAGTAGTAAGAGCCATATAAGGCTTATTATTAGTAGTAGTAGTATTATCCTAACACTCAGAAAAAACTAACCTAAGTTTTTGTATATCCAGCCAGACTTTGTATGTATGTGTACATGTACATACACATACGTATACACTCATGTGGGTAAATATAGATGTATTTTTTATTAAAATTGGACTATACTATTTTTAAAAATTCTTTATTGTTTAAAGTATTACATAAGTCTCCTTTTTCCCCCATTGACCTCTACCTGGTCGCCCCTACCCCCCAGCATATGCCCTCACCCCCCTACTGTCTGTGTCCATTGGTTATGCTCATATGCATGCATACAAGTCCTTTGGTTGATATCTTACCCCTCACCCCCTGCCTTCCCTAATAGGTTGGACAGCCTGTTTGATGCTTCTATGACTCTGGTTCTATTTCTGTTCATCAGTTTATTATGTTGTTCATTATATTCCACAAATGAGTGAGATCATGTGATATTTATCTTTCTCTGACTGGCTTATTTCGCTTAGCATAATGCTCTCCAGTTCCATCCATGCTGTTGCAAATGGTAAGAATTCCTTCTTTTTTACAGCAGCGTAATATTCCATTATGTAGATGTACCACAGTTTTCTAATCCACTCATCTGCTGATGGGCACTTAGACTGTTTCCAAATCTTAGCTATTGTAAATTGTGCTGCTATGAACATAGGGGTGCATATATCCTTTCTGATTTGAGTTTATGAGTTCTTGGGATATAGTCCTAGAAGTGGGATTAGTGGGTCAAATGGAGTTCCATTGGATTATACTATTTCTATTTATTGTAACCTTCTTTGTACTGAACACTATATTACAAGCATCTTTCCATGCCATTAAATGAAATAATGAATGTTTAAAACAAAAATCAGATGTATTTGGTCTTAATTAGTTGTGATATCATGCATCCTTTTGACCAAACACATGAATAAACATACGATCAAACAAAATTTTTGACACTACGCTGACTCTGGAATGCTTATAGATTTGATACAGCTTACTTAAAAGGTTGAATGGGCATTGATATATCCTACCTAAGTGATATTCAACATTTTACTAAAATGTTCATCTTCAGAGCTAATATACAACATAGAATGCTACTTTTGAAGTGTCACTGGGGAAAAGACACTTGGAATACAGTTATTTGTAAGACGAAAAATGACATGCAAAAAGTACATTGGTTAGTAGAAAAAACATTTCTTTCTCTGCCTCTTTCTGCCTTTCCAGGAGATGTTCCACAAAGCCGAAGAATTCCTCTCCAAAACAGCAGGTGGTGAGATGGACGAGATGGACACGTCGGATACCCAGTGGGGCTGGTTTTACTTGGCGGAATGTGGAAAGTGGCACATGTTCCAGGTATCTCCGTCCTTGGACGTAGCAGAATGGGTTTAGATTCACTTAGCGTCATCTTGCCGATGGATAAGATGAGTATAAGCAAACCAGAAAGAAATCAAGCTCTAAGGAAATCAGATTGCTAAACTGAAAGAAAAATTAGAAATTCTTCTAGTTCTTTTCCTTTTCTTCCCCCACGTGTTCACAATAATTTATTTAGAAGAAACAGTGTGTGTTTGCCGTGTGTACAGAAGGCGATTGTGATTGAGAGTTGCATGATAGCAGTACATCTGAGCAACTCCAAGTTTGATTTGGTGGACAAAGAGAAAGGGAAGAGAACAGCCCATATTAAACGCCTTCTGTACACCAAGTATTATGTTAGGTGTTGTACATAGGTTTTCTCCTTCATCCTCATAACAACGCTGAAGCAGATGTTAACACTCAGTCTTACAGGCAAAGTGAAGCTCAGAAAGTTAATGTATTTTGTCCAGAATCACACAGCTAGTTAATGGCTAAGGTAGTGATTAAAGCTTGTAGTCTTTTTAAACTTACAAAGCTATTTAAAGAAGATTTAATTTTTGAGCCACTTAGGAAGTACAATTATTGTCATGATTTGTGAAAATTGTAATAATTTTGGATAAGGCTTAACCAGTTTTTTAAGTTTCTTTGCTGGAAGTCCTTAAACTGTTTTTAACATGCTGGTTTAGCTGTGATTTTCCCGGTGTTTAGGGGACTAGAACAGATGACTAGTGAAGTGCCCCTTGTTTCACCATTCTCTGTCTCTGAGCACAGTACCACCTCTGTGGCCAAGCCATTAAGGTGAACAGCTGTAATTGAAACTTTCTGGTTTGTCTTAAAGCCGGATACCAACATTCAGTGTTCAGTTAGCAGTGAAGATATCGAACAAAGCTTCAAAACAAATCCTTGTGGCTCCATTTCTTTTACTACTTCCAAATTCAGCTACAAGATAGACTTTGCAGGTATGTTGCTTTTTTTCTTAAAGTTGTGTGGTTTTAGTATACGGATATGGTAAAATCTACAGTTCTGAAGATGTATCAAGGATTAGTTGATACATTTGTGAACAGTGAAGTAAATCCTCTTTGTAATACATACAAGTACCTCTATAAAAATTCAGGATTTAAAATCTTGAGCAACACTGTCTTTTTATAAAGGAGTGTTTATATGCTGAGACTGATGTAATGCTTCTCTTCTAAGGAACACAAACATTGTTTTCCTCATGGTCCTATCAGTCTTTTGAAGTAGATAGGAACCTTTTATTTTAAGGACCACTCTGAGAGGTGAAGTGACAAAGTCTGTGATAGTTTTAAGACTGCAGTTCAGATGAATGACCCACCTCCGGGGGTCTTTGCCAGAAAATTATTTCTGTAGTGGACATTGCCTTCTGCCCTTTTCTGATTTCATGGGCTCTTTCACAGATTAGCCAGTAATCTGGAAATCAGCTGCACTTGGGATTTCATTCCTGATTTATGGGCATGATTTGGGGTACTTCTCCTGAAAAACCTGTTGGGTTCAGTCCCTTCACTTTCAAACTGCTACAGTCCCAGCTCTTTGCTGCTTAGAGGCAAACAGGACCTGGTTGGGGAAGCTTCCTTAATAAAAGTGCATTTTGGTTATTTCACAGCTCAGTCCTCTAACTGTTCTTCCCAGTGTCTTTATGACAATTAGTAGTGTGTTTCTGCAGGGGAGGGTGGTGAAACCTTAGGAGATGTCCTTGAATGAGCCAAGGCCCAGAACGGTAAAGGGGATTGTCCAGTAAGAGGTTGATGCAACCAAATCTCTAATGATCATCATCCCCCAAAGCTTTTTTATCAAGAGTTAAAACCATTAGATTCTTACTCTTGACTCACCATAACTTTTTTCCCCCACAGTTATTTTCTTTTAACTTTTTATTGATTAAGCGCAGGAGTCCTCAAACTTTTTAAACAGGAGGCCAGTTCACTGTCCCTCAGACCGTTGGAGGGCCGGATTATAGTTTAAAAAAAAACTATGAACAAATTCGGCAAAAACACCCGGCGGGCCGGATAAATGTTTTCGGCAGGCCGCATGGGGCCCGCGGGCTGTAGTTTGAGGACCCCTGGATTAAGGTATTAGAAATGTGTCTTTATCCCCCCATTGTCCCCCCATCCCCCCGGTCTTGCCCTCACCCTCACCCCCTGTTGTCTGCGTCCATTGCTTATGCTTATATGCATGCATACAAGTATTTTTATTGATTTCAGAGAGGAAGGGAGATGGAAGGGAGAGAGAGATAGAAGCATCAATGATGAGAGAGAACCAGGGATCAGCTGCCTCCTGCATGCCTCCTATTGGGGATCAAGCCCATGACCTGAGCATGTGTCCTGAACTGGAATCAAACCCAGGACCCTTCAGTCTGCAGGCTGATGCTCTATCCACTGAACCAAACCAGCTAGGGCAACTTAACATTGGATAAATAGGCCATCTGCCTTTAAAGGGCCCTGACATTTATCTTTCTCCTGCAGTCTAGACAACAGGTGTCTGGTAGGCATTTTAGTCTGTGTACCGGGGCCAGTTCTGAAGCCATACTGAGACATAACGATATGCACAGACTCATATAGGAGATGAAGTTTGTCGAAGCAGATGATTCAGCAAGCTACATGTTTCTGGAAGAATATTTTCTAGAAAACATATTTTTGCGAAACTTTCTCTCAGACAATACAGTTTATTAAAACTTTTTTTAATCATCTAGGAGTCACATGTTATGTTGGGGTCAAGTTCCCCAACCCTCAATATAATGACACTGTTTCAGAAGTATACCTATTAGCACTTCATATATACCATTTACAAAATTAGTCCCTGTTCTGCCACAAGCCAATTCAGGTTCTCTCTGTAGAAATGGTAAAAAGTGAACTCAGAGGAAGACACTACAGTTTTCACTATGTGAGCTGAGATCTTGCTTTTCCCTGCACCATGGTAACGCCAGTGTGTACAGAGTCTAGGAGAATACAGACAGGGCAGAACATACTTTATACAGCATTTGCTTGACGGGTGAATCCCTTTGTTTTGGAATGGAATAATGTCAATTAGATAAGATAACTGACTAGAATCTCACATTCACATCTTTGTGGGAATGTAGAAATGGGCTTGGTAAGTACTGCCACTGCTGAGGCATAGATGAAAGAAGAAAATAATACCTTTAATTAGTCCTTTGTCACTAGAATCTGTTATGTAAGTACTAGAGGCCCAGTTCATGAAATTCATGCACTGGGGTGGGGGTGGGGGGTTCTTCAGCTCGGCCTGCACCCTCTCGCAGTCCAGGAACTTCGGGGGATGTCTGATTGACAGCTTAGGCCTGATTCCCTCGAGCTTGGCCAGGGGGTAGCTCCTGCAGTAAGCATCTGCCCCCTGGTGGTCAGTGTGCGTCATAGCGACCAGTCATTCCACAGTTTAGTTGATTTACATATTAGACTTTTATTATATAGGATGTATGGAGTCTAGCTAGGTTTTCTATGTTTTGGTTTAGGTATACAATTTAAAGAGAAGGCAAGCAATGTACACATTTTTGAAATTCTGTGAATTGTACATGTTTTATAATGGTAATGTATTTTTTAAAATCATTTCCAACTACTTTGGAGAAATAATGTAGTTTCCACTTAATAAGCATCTAGAATATTCAGTATTATAATTTCTTTCTCTTTCTAGTACTCTTAATTTTCCTAAGTTTAGAATTCTTCTAGTTTAATGTCACTTAAACCTAAGGATTGTATAGAAAAGTATAGACCCTGCCTACTGAGCTGCATATGGTATTAGCATTCTTTTGTCTGAGAGTAGATCAAGCAATGAAGCCATCCTCCCTGAATAGCGCTTTTATGACATGATAGATAGGTAGGTAGGTAGTAGATAGGTAGGTAGGTAGGTAGGTAGATAGATAGATAGATAGATAGATAGATAGAAAGAAAAGTATCTTAATGCACTATGTTTGTCAGTGACTCCCAAAATTCTGTGATTCGTGTAGGGTGGCTATACATCTTCGTGACAATTTATAGCACAGTATGTTTCTGTGACTTATCTAACATCTTTGTCTTTGTATACAGAAATGAAGCAAGTGAATCTTACTACTGGAAAACAGCGCTTAATAAAAAGAGCCCCCTTTTCTATCAGTGCTTTCAGGTACGGTAACGAGAATAGGGGTAGAAAGATTGGGCTTTTCCTCTCTCTTCTCTTTCTTAATATTTGATAGAGGAACAAATAGACTGAAAATGTTTTGGTAGGTTACTTAATGATCTTAATATTGATCCTTTCAGTACTGAATTGCACCTTACTTGATGAAATAGCAATAGTATTATTTTATGCCCATGTTTCCTTTCGTCACAGAACCATCCAGTTACTTGGGCTATAAATCCCGAGTAATTACCACTCTTCTCCACTGGGCAACTCCTGGAAGTAATTTCAGAGCTAAAGGAGACCTGAGGAAGGTGGGAGTGCAGTGGGACAGCAGCACTGCTACTTGTTCCCACTGCGAGTTGTCTTTTTCTGTCTCTGGATTATATAGCCTGAAAAGAGGCATAAATACCAGAAGAGAATAAATATTTTGTATTGCTGTGAATGGAATCTCAGGGAAAAATCTTACACTGTGTCTCCTATTTTCTGGAACAATTTCTCCAGCAAGTATTCAAATTCTTGCTGTTCAAAGAATTTATAATGAAACAGAAGAACAAAGAGCTAGCATATGAATTTTAAGGGCTACCCATTTGCTCCTTCTGAGGAGATATTGTGAAAGGATTAGAGTAAAGAACGAAAATTTTTAAGTTTCTATCAGTTTGTTTCACAAGATTTTGGCTTACATTTTAGCATCATGATTTAAAAGTTATTTCATTAATGAATATTCTAGTACTTCTGTGGAATGTAGAGAAAACTATTTTCTTATCAACTATATCATATCCTCATTCTTAAGTATAGGAATTAATTATCTTTAAAGAGTATGTAATCTGGGAGAAAATGAAACTTAATAATGAGAAATGATATTGTAAATTGTAATTGCACATTATTGTATCTGGTATGTTTTGGTGAGGAGAAGCAGCACATGATGGGGTCTAGCACTTTGTTCTCTCACTGACTATACACACTATAGAAAAGAGACAGGAGAGGGAGACAGTGCACCAGAGTGGAGGATAATAAGATATTAAAAGATGAAGAACAGTTAGTTGGGATACAGAAGAGTGATGAAGGTGACGTGAGTATGTGCTGATATAGAAATGTTTATTTATTACAGGAAATATTACATGCAAGGTGAATAGTATATATTTTCCATTGGCAAAGATTAGCAGTTAACTAAGGCTATGGGCTATAGACATAAAAAAAAAACAAAAAATGCACACACACACAAAACTTTTCCATAGCTAAAAGATATGGCAAAATCTTCTCAAAAACTGGGTAAACTATTGTTACTCATTATCACAGCCTACGGATTTATCTCTGTAGTATATGAAATATTTCTATGAATCTCTAAGTAGAAGACCAACAACCTGTTAAAAAAATGAGCAAAGAATTTGAACAGTTCATAAAACTTCACTCATAATAAAAGAAATACAAATTACATCAGACTATTTTTTTACTATCAGGTTGACAAAAATCCAAAAGTTTGATAACACATCTTTTTTATGAGGTTGGAAAATAGACATTCTTTATTTTTCTGGTGGGAATGTCAATGAGTACAACCTTCAAGGAAGGCTTTGGTCAGTATCTGTCAAAATCATGAATAAATATATTCTTTGATTGAGAAATTCTATTTCAAAGATGTCATCCTAAAAATTGACTAGTGGACACGTACAATGACAAATGGATGAACTAGTTCTTTGCAACATTCTCAACAGTAGCAAAAAGTTGAAAGAATTGAAGATCTTCAATAGGGGACTTGTTAAATAGATTGTGGTGTCTCCATACCACAGAATTCTGTGCATCTTTGCATGTGCCAGACCCTATGGTAGGGACTGGGAACAAGGGTACTCTCTATCTACTGATGCAGAAAGATATCTAAGAATGTAGTAAGTGAAAAATAAAAGCTGCAGAAGACACATGTTTCAAGCTACCATTTGAGTGTGGGGACAGATTGGCTTGTGTTAACTTAAAGGAGTTCTAGAATAATAACCAAAAGACTGGAAACAATATTACTTGGAGTTGAGGCAAGAGGTGAGAATTGGACAGTCTAAGGACTGGAGTGGGAGGGAAACTATTCACTATTCACTATTTACTCTTTTTATACTTACTAATTTTTAAATCATGTCATTTTATGATCTTTTCAAAGTTGAAATGAGTCTTTAAAAATTAAACTGAAAATAGGCTTGAAATTTATTTCTTCCAGTGACCTCGAGTCACCACAGAGGGTTAATATGTCAGTGTCAGCCTGTTGCCATTGAACTCCCCAAGATTGCTCTCTTTTTCTGTGTTCACATCCAGTGGCTTAAACACGGTAGATAGTTTTTAAAAAGTTGTACTGACTGACGATATTAAGTGTGTTAATGTGAACTGTGTATGAGAATAGTGGGCAATAAACAGAAAAGTTTAGATTTGAGTTAGATCTTGAAGGACATTGAATGTATAGCTGAGGGGTTGGGATTTTATTTAATAGGCAGAATAAATATCTTAAAGAGTTTTATTTTTTTATTTTAAATATATTTTATTGATTTTTTATAGAGAGGAGGGGAGAAGGATAGAGAGTTAGAAACATCGATGAGAGAGAAACATTGATCAGCTGCCTCCTGCACACTCCCTCCTGGGGATGTGCCTGCAACCAAGGTACATCCCCTTGACCGGAATTGAACCTGGGACTTTCAGTCCGCAGGCCAATGCTCTATCCACTGAGCCAAACTGGTTAGGGCTTAAGGAGTTCTTTTTAAATCAAGGGTTTTATTTTTCTTCTCGGAAATTTCTTTTCTTTAGCTAAAATCTTCCTTACATTTTAAAGAAATTCTGTAAAATTCAGAAAAACAAGACAAAATGAAACAACTGTTCTTGAAATGTTAATGTTATGTAGGGTTGGATGTTTTCCATTGAAGTTCTCAATTCAGCACTTAAAAAGGTAATACACAAGAAAGATATTCAATAAATATTTTAAAATAAAGCAAGGATTCCACTTAATTGCATTTATCACAGTATCCAAACATGAAAATTCAGCATTGAAGAAGTCTGACTCACAGTAATTATAATCAGATTCTAATATTTTGTTTTGTCTTTTGCTATTTAAAGTTATATCTGTGAAAATGAGGCTATCCCCATGCCACCACATTGGGAGAATGTGAATACTGACGTACCCTATCAGGTAAGAGCAGCACTGACGGACCCTCCTGTGCTAGAGATGGAACAGGACTTCCATAAAACTATTAAACTTTATTTTCCAGCTTATTCCTTTGCACAATCAAACACATGAATATAATGAAGTCGCTAGTCTCTTTGGGAAAACAATGGATCGCAACAGAATTAAAAGAATTCAGAGAATTCAGAACCTAGACTTGTGGGAGTTCTTCTGCAGGTGAGATAGTTTCTATTCTGACCCCCCTCCTTGGCCTCTGAGACTTTTGTTGTCTTAGAGATGATAATGTAGCACAAACATTTAATTGTATTAATTTTCACTGCTGCTGTGTTTTCCTCTTGCTTTGTTTTGACCTGGTCTCTCAGCTCTCTTCTTCAGCCTTCTCAGGGAGTAAGAGAGATGCTCTGTAAGTAAATGCAAGGCATTGTTTACAGGGCTCGGGAACGTCCCACCGGCCGCATAAGGCCCGAGAAATCATTTGTTCTGGCCCTGCCAAGGCATTAGGGGTAAGTTCATTAAATGTTTGACCAAATACGGCAGGCTAATTTTTAAGTTGATAATTTTGTATGGCCCCTGAATAATGTTATAAATACCCAAATGGCCCTTGGCAGAAAAAAGGTTCCCCACCCTTGGCTTACCACATTGTTATGCAGTGGTAGAGGTTAGTCTCCTCAGCACGCTCCTAGAAACTTGCCCCTTTCAAGGTTCTGAGCTTCGCATCTTGGCTTAGTCAGCATTGCAGAGGAATAGGGGAGCTATTTAGTTTTGTTGATATGACTTTGTTTGCTCAGACTTTTATGTTGAACTAGTGGCCCGGTGCACAAAATTTGTGCACTTGGGTGGGGGTTGGGGGTCCTCCAGCCTGGCCTGTGCCCTGTCACAGTGAGGGAGCCCTGCGATCCATCGCCCCAAAGAGGTAAGCCCTGCCCACCCAACTGGTGCTCCTCGATGGATTGCCCCAAAGTGGTAGGCCGGAGTTGGCGAAGGCCTGCGGACCTCCAGCCGGGCCCACGGCGGAGTGCCCTCTCCGCGCGCCTGTGGATCCCCGGTGCAGGCATGTTCTCTGCCGCTGCCCCAACCCTGTCCCTGACGCTGCAAGTCCCCGCCCACCCATGCCTGCTGCGCACGCAGCCTGCTTATTGGTTGTTACTGTGATGATGTCCTGACCAATTTGCATATTACCCTATTATTAGTATAGATTATAACTCTCTGAATCATTGTTGAATTTCTTTTTAAACAATTACACTATCTTGCCTATAGTCATTTGCTTATTTAGTTTGAAGGACCATTGCAAAACATACCTGGAAATTTTCTGTTTAGCCCAAAGTTTATGTTGTAGATTTAAAAATCTCAATTTATTACTCAACTTGGGTTGGAAATGACCCATAGAATTACTCTGTGTGCACTTAACCTAAAAGTAAAGCCCACTACAAAACCGGAAGGGTATTGTCCAAATTAATCTGTTTGTTGTGCTGTTTGTTTGTTTTTGTTTATTTCTTTTTTTTTTTTTACAAATATATAGTAACAGGAAATACATCAGTATTAGTGAGGATAGAGGGCTAATTGAGAGAGGCAGGATGGAGGGATTACACATAGGAATAAGGAAACTGGGGAAGGTGATAGATATGTTCATTATTTTTACAACAGATTAATGGTTGTTAATTGTAAATATGTGCAGTTTATTGTATGTAATTATATCACAAATTGTGCTGAGGAATGTGTTTTTAATAACAAGTACTACCTAAAATATGTGATTTTTCTGAAATATTTATTAAATACTAGAGGCCCGATGCATGAAAATTCGTGCACTCGAAGTGGGGGGTGTCCTTCAGCCTGGCCTGCGCCTCTCGCAGTCCGGGAGTCCTCAGGAGATGTCTGACTGATGGCTTAGGCCTGCTCCTCTACAAGAGGCAACCAGGCAGGCCCATCAGGTGATGGTGCCAGCCGGCAAGCAACTGGCTCTGCCCAACCCCCGATTACAACTCCACCGCTGCTGGTTGCTTCTGCCCCCAAATCGCCATCCCCTCCCTCTGCCCGCTGTCACTAGCCTTGGCTGGCCTGGCGCAGCCTGCTCACTGGCCCCGCCCCCCCGTCCGGTCGTTCTGCCATTCGGTCGATTTGCATATTATGCTTTTATCATATAGGATGTGTATGAGATTTAGTTTCTAATATATTTTTTTATTATTTTTATTTTATTAATTTTTATTTTATTATTTTCTTTTGTTTTTTTTCTTGTTTCTAATATTTCTTAATATAAGCAGACCTTTAGTACTTATTCAGAAAATTTTCAAATAATAGAGTTTAATATAACAAACCTCTAGGTAGCCATCACACTGATTTAACATTTATCAAGATATACCACATATTATCTATCAATGAAAGTTGCAGTCTCATTAAAAGCAGGCTGACTTTTATTTGTTAATGATACATGGAATTCTTTCATGCTCTGGTGCTCATACAAGTTTATATGATAAAATAAGGAGTTTTCAGCTCTATTCTTTATAATTTTGAGTCTTTGGACCAAACCAACTTTTATTTCTGATAGTACTGAGTTTAGAAGGTTTTATTCAGTTCTTGTTTGGGTAATTTGTTTTTAGAGGAAGATGGAAGCCTCTCTCCCTTTTATTTTATTCTCTCAGTGAATAAAGTTTTTTCTCAGATGGTCTGATGAAATCTTACTTCATTATGTTTAATCTGGCCTCCGAAGTGGAGTTCATATTAGTCTCCCTCCTAATTTGAGTCTTCAGTTAAATCCTAGTGATAAAATGTACAGTGACTCCCCAACATTTTATATGAAGATTTTATGAAATCAGTTTACTGTTGATGCCCTTTATGATTTTATGTAATGTCAGTGTCTAGAAATCTGTGATGGCAAATGAATCTGCCACCTACTGTGATAGAAAATACTAAGTCTCATTATGAAGACAGCCTGTCATGTTGTCATCTCCCTGAAGAACTGATGTAACCGAGTCGATCTCATTGTCATGTAACCTGTGACTTACCACTTGAGTGCATCATGCATCAGTTTGCATGTTGTCCAGGCCTTTCTTACTTCCTCCCTTTTTCTAAAAATATGTTTTAACTCCTACTTTGTGACAGGCTTTATTCTGGGCACTTGGGATATAACAGGGTATAGGACTGTAGCTTAGACAAGGGGCCAGGCTATCAAACCACAAAATGTAGACGGGAGCACAGGGTATCTTGGAGCACAAGGTGAGGGTATCTACGCACCCTGCTTGACAAAGGTAGGATATGTATTGTGGAGTGGGGAATATCAAGAAGCACTTCCTAAAGCAGGGATCATTTAAGCTAGACATAGGTGGGAGAAGGGAAGGGCATCCCAGACTTTGGGAGCAGCATGGGCCAAAGTTGATTATGAGAGGGAACGTAGAACATTGACAGAATTTCAAATAGAACAAAAAATAGGATGAATGTTGAAGAAGGGCTAGAAAGGTACTCCAGAGATAGAACATGCAGAAGTTTGTAGTAGAGCCACTGGGTGGTTGTGTGATTTTCTTTGGTAGCCTTACTTGAGTTGGACTGACACACTGTTAAGGTAGAGAGTTAGCAGGGGCCAGGCCATGCGGGGCTTACAAACCAAACAAAAGGATTTGGATTATTTTTCTGGGACAGTGGAAAGCTATTGTAGGATTTTAAGCAAGAAAGAGATGGGTCTGATTTGCATTTTAGAAAAATAATCATCAGTTTATATTGTGGAATAGGGGTTTAAAGCAGTTAGGAGTGATTTTGCCCACCAGCGGGTATTGGCAATGACTGGACACATCCTTATTATCCTGCAGTGGGATGGGGATATCCTACTGACATCTACTCAGTAAAGGCCAGGGATGCTAAACATTGTACAGTGCACAAGACAGCCTCCTACAATGAACAAATATCCAGCCCCAAATGTCAGTAGTGCCGAAGCTTAGAAATTGGTTTAAATGGATCAAAGTCAGAAGCAGAGAGGCCATTGTAGGAAATTGTTTCAGTAATTAAACTGAGACAAATTGGGAGGCTTGAACCAAAGTGGACCGAAAGAGTGAAGAGGACAACTTTGAGGTATTAAGAATGTAGAATGATGTTGTTTGGTGCATAATTTAATGTGTGCAATGGGTTGGGTTAGGGAGATGGGAAAAATGACATTGAAGTTTCTGACTTGTTTTAGTTGACTAAGGAAATATGGGTAGGAACAGATTTTGGTCTTGGGAGGATGTGAAGGGAGTAGTAGTTAATATGTGGATTGGGAGCTTAGCAGAGTGGTGTAGACTAGAGATAAAGGTTTTGGAGTAGTTAAGAAATGTGGGTAATTGTTGGGGTCCAGCCCCAGCAGGTCCAGGTTTGGAATGGAGATAACAAATGCCCTAACCTTTGGAATAGAATGAATAGGATTAAAATCAAATGGTATAAATACAGATGTAACAGGAGAATAAAAAGAGAACCTGGCCAGAGAACCTGGCTATGCTGATCATCTGAACGCTGTCTCCATGTCATTCCTTCTTCACCGACTCTGTCCACACCTTTGGGAACCCCTGGACTTGCTGGGGCGGGACCCCAACAGGTATTAGAAGCCATAGGAATTGATAAGATGACCAGGGATGTTATGTAGATAGAGAAAATAGGATGTCCAAGGACTGAACTCTAGAAGGGATAGACAGAGGAAGAGAAAACCTAAGGAAGAAGCTGAGAAGTAACAACCAAAAAAAGGTGGAAGAAAATGAGTGGAATGTGATCACAGAAGCCAAAGGAAGAAAGTAGTTTACATAAGTAGGTGTCATCCATGGTCACATAGTGAAGAATAACCAAGTAAGATAAATATTGACAACTAGAGGTCCAGTGCATGAAATTCGTGCACTTGGGGAGGTTGTCCCTCAGCCCAGCCTGCGCCCTCTTGCAGTCCGGGAGCCCTTGGGGGATGTCCAACTGCCAGCTTAGGCCCACTCCCTGCTGGCAGTCAGACATCCTTAGTGCTGCCGCAGAGGCAGTAGAGGCTTCCACCACCACCACTGCACTCACCAGCCGTGAGCCTGGCTTCTGACTTAGCAGTGCTCCCCCTGTGGGAGCACAATGACCATCAGGGGGCAGCTCCTGCACTGAGTGTCTGCCCCCTGGTGGTCAGTGCATGTCATAGCGACCGGTCATTCCACTGTTCGGTCGATTTGCACATTAGCCTTTTATTATACAGGATATCCTTTGGATTCTGTAACAGAAAGGTCATTGGC